GTAGGCATTTTCTTGAGAATGAATTCTTTGATGTTCCTTAAGGCGAGAAGGGTAGTAAAACATTTTCCCACATTCTTCACACTTGTAGGGTTTCTCTCCAGAGTGAACTACCTTGTGTTGAGAAAGGTATGAATGAGTAGAAAAGGCCTTTCCACATTGCTCACACTTATAGGGTTTCTCTCCAGTATGAATTCGCTGGTGTCTAGAACGTCCTGAACGAGTACAGAAGTCCTTGCCACATTCTTCACACCTGTATGGTTTCTTTCCAGAATGAATGGCTTGGTGTTCCTTAAGAATGGAAGGATAGTAAAATGTTTTGCCACATTCCTCACACTTGTAAGGTTTCTCCCCGGTATGACCTAATTTGTGCTGAGTAAGGTATGAGAGAGTATAAAAGGCTTTGCCACATATTTCACACTTGTAAGGATTCTCTTGAGAATGAATTCTTTGATGTTCCTTAAGGCGAGAAGGGTAGTAAAACATTTTCCCACATTCTTCACACTTGTAGGGTTTCTCTCCAGTATGAAATCTCTGGTGTTTAGAAAGTCCTTTGGGAGTACAAAAGACATTGCCACATATTTCACACTTGTAAGGGTTTTCTTGGGAATGAATTCTTTGATGTTCCTTAAGGCGAGAAGGATAATAGAACTTTTTGCCACATTCTTCACACTTGTAAGGTTTCTCTCCAGAGTGGACTACCTTGTGTTGAGTAAGGTATGAATGAGTAGAAAAGACTTTCCCACATTCTTCACACTTGTGGGGTTTCTCTCCGGTATGAATTCTTTGGTGTCTAGAACGTCCTGAGCGAGTGCAAAAGTCCTTGCCACATTCTTCACACCTGTATGGTTTCTTTCCAGAATGAATTGCTTGGTGTTCCCTAAGGATTGAAGGATAGTAAAATGTTTTGCCACATTCCTCACACTTGTAAGGTTTCTCCCCGGTATGACCTAATTTGTGCTGAGTAAAGTATGAGTGAGTATAAAAGGCTTTGCCACATATTTCACACTTGTAAGGATTCTCTTGAGAATGAATTCTTTGATGTTCCTTAAGGCGAGAAGGGTAGTAAAACTTTTTGCCACATTCTTCACACTTGTAGGGTTTATGGCCAGTGTGAACTATCTTGTGATGAGAAAGGTATGAATGAGTAGAAAAGGCCTTTCCACATTGCTCACACTTGTAGGGTTTCTCTCCAGTATGAATTCGCTGGTGTCTAGAACGTCCTGAACGAGTACAGAAGTCCTTGCCACATTCTTCACACCTGTATGGTTTCTCTCCAGAATGAATGGCTTGGTGTTCCTTAAGGACTGAAGGATAGTAAAATGTTTTGCCACATTCCTCACACTTGTAAGGTTTCTCCCCAGTATGACCTAATTTGTGCTGAGTAAGGTATGAGAGAGTATAAAAGGCTTTGCCACATTCTTCACACTTGTAAGGTTTCTCTCCAGAATGGATTCTCAGGTGTTTAGAAAGTTGCCAGCAAGTTCTAAAGACCTTGCCACATATTTCACACTTGTAGGGTTTCTCTTGAGAATGAGTTATTTGATGTTGTTTAAGGTTTGAAGAACAGTAAAACATTTTGCCACATTCTTCACATTGGTAAGGCTTCTCTCTAGTATGCCCTATCTTATGCTGAATCAGAGAAAGATGACTAGGGAAGGCTTTCCCACATTCGTCACACTTGTAGGATTTCACTTCACAATGAATTTTCAGGTGTTTAGATACTGAATGGAGTTCACAAAAGGCATTGCCACATTCTTCACACTTGTAGGCTTTCTCTCCTGGATGAATTCGTGGATGTTCAGAAAGCACTGAGCAAGCACTAAAGGTCTTAATACATTCTTCATACTTGTAGGGTTTCTCTTCAGTACAAAATGTCTGGTCTTTAGAAAGTCCTATGGGTGAACAAAAGACCTCGCTACAGACTTCAATCTTCAAGGGATTCTCTTGAGAATAAATTGTTTGATGTTCTGAGAGGTAAGATGGACAATAAAACAGCTTCTCACATTCTTCATAGTTATAGGATTTCTGTCCAGTGTGTTGTAACTCATGTTGAGTAAGACATGAATGAGTAGAAAAGGCTTTCCCACATTCTTCACACTTGTAAGGGTTCTCCCCAATGCAAATTCTCTGGTAGCTAGAATGTCCTGAGCAAGTACAAACTATGTTGCCACATTCTTCACACTTGTAGGCTTTCTCTTCTGGATCAATTATGTGGTGTTCAGAAAGTAGTGGAGAAGAACCAGAAGCCTTTCCACATTCTTCACACGTGTAGGCTTTCTCAGCTGGATGAATTCTCTGGTATTCAAGAAGAAGTGAGTTCCAATCACAAGCTTTGCCACATTCTTTACATTTATATGGTTTTATATCTGTTAAGTAAAAGTTGAGATATGAATAAAAACTGAGTAACATTCTTATATTTACAATGCTTACCTTTAATATGGAGACCTTTACTTATTTTTTATTGGTAAATGAGAAATTACAAATTTCCACACCTATATTCACTGCAATGTAAATTAGAAAATGCAATGAGTGGAAACAATATAAACTTCCACTGAAATAAGAGGAAGACCAAGGGCTGGAGAGATGGCTCAGCATTTAAGAGCATTGCCTGCTCTTCCAAAGGTCCTGAGTTCAATTCCCAGCAACCACATGGTGGCTCACAACCACCTGAAATGAGATCTGATGCCCTCTTCTGGCCTGCAGTTAGACACACAGACAGAATATTGTATACATAATAAATAAATAAATATCTAAAAAAAGAGGAAGATCAAATAGAATACAGAAATAATTGAATATTATTAACAGTTAAAGAACAAAGGAAGATGTACTATCAATAATGGGAACTCTTAAGTGCACTGTGTTAACAGAAATGAGCCCATTTAAAATATATAAATTATATGACCAGACATAGATGAAAAACAGAAGTAGGTAAATGTGGAAAACATTAGAACAATGGTGATTGTATGAGGTTGGAAGAATGTAGAAATACACAATTTATATCCTAAATACAGGTGTAATTTGAAAGGCACTCAATATATATTGTGTAACAATTAGATTCTCTATAATACTAAGTATGATATTTCAGGGAGTTAACAAATATCTGAAAGAATCAAATTATGAAAAGAAAAAACCCCTCAAGCTCACCTATAATGATAGAACCTGCTAGAGGCTCATATGAGTCAAAGATTAAATGATAAAATTACCTCAATTTCAAAGAATATTCATTTACAAGATAACAGAGTCTTTTACTAATCAGTGAGGAGATGATGTACAAGGCATAAAAACATGAGACTCATGTGTACACATAAAGTGGAAACACACAATTCTGATATTATCGGAACCAGTGCTCATTGATTATTTCTAATTGTACACTGTTCCAAGTGTTTTGCATTGTGGACTTCATTCACAAAAACATAAGCTTACATGTAAGCAAGTGATTTTAGATAACCTAGACTCCAATAATATAGAAAACAAAGTTGTAAAATAACAAAAAGAGAACCCTGAGCCCACTGAACTCTAAAAAGTAGCTGATAAGCTACTACAAACATTCTTCTAGACATGTAAGGTTTTAATCTATGAAAACATACCCAGAAAGGGCATGCATTTTAGATCAGTAACACTTGAGTGCATGAGAAAAAAAAAACGTTATGAGGATACATTATACTTATTCACAGCAATTATGAAAATATTTAAATTAGCAAACATGTATGGGATATAAAAAAATTTATTATATTGTATTATAATGGCTTCACTTGTTTTTAAACGTGCAAATCTTCGTAGGTATAGGGCACAGTTAAAAGTCTGCTGCAATGCAGACTCTCAGCAAAACGACAAACTTCGTCACTGTAAACATAAGCAGAGCTCTTGGGAGGCAGAGGACAAGGCTCAGACACTTAAATCATGTGAATGGATGAACTAGATATTCTAGAAACTGATTTCCATCACAATATAACATCTCAGTGCATATGGTAAAGTCTGGCTTTATGCTAGAAAGTTCACTCTGTCCTCTGTCCCCTCGTTCTACAAACCTGGGTGCATGGTGGCAGCTTCTTGTGTCTTCACATCTGAAGGCTCTTGACTTTGCTCTAGAAACGTGACCAGGTATGGCTTAGAGAAGGCAAGACCTGTTTGTGGGAAAAGGGATCAAGACGGTTGGTGTGTTATTCACCTGGGAAATAACATGACTATTTCAGGATTGTGTCCTTAGAGGGAAAAAGAATATACCCAGCTTAACTTCACTGTCTCCCACCCCCAAAAATCAATACAAATAAAAACCCTAAAACTTAAAGGTATGCCTCATGTCTGTGACTTTCTAGTATTACCACTAGAGTAAAGAATACTTCTAAGAAACAGCCACGTTAAGAAAACAAAAAGAATTGAAAAAGAAACTGCCTTAGTTACATTAACAATCCCCTCATCCTCCCCTACGTGCAGGTCCGTGACCCTCACTGTCGGAAACTACAAGCTCCCATGAGATGCTTTTATAAAAGGAATTTAATGTTGACCTTGAATTAAGAACTCACTATGAGCCAGGCGTGGTGGCAATGAATACCAGCATTTGAGAGGCAGAGGCAGGAGGATCTCTGAGTTTGAGGCCAGTCTGGTCTATACAAGAGTTCCAGGAAGCAAGGACTACATAGAGAGACCCTGGCTCAAAAAACAAACAAAAATCCCACACATATACACAAGAATTCACTATAGATGCACTCCTCACCCAAAAACACGAGGTTGCTGTAATTCTCCAACATCACATCCCTGTACAGATTCCACTGAGCAGGGCCCAGGCATTCCCACTCCTCTGCAGAGAAATCAATGGCCACGTCACTGAATGACACCATTTCCTGAAATAAAGATAAACGAATAATAGATTATATTAATTAAAATCAATAACAGATACCAACAGGCATCCTGTGCTTATAAATACATTCTTAGGAAGTATAGCAACAACATCACTTTTTTAATATTTAAAATAATCAGGTATCACTACATTCTTTCATTTTTCCTTTGCCTGCTTTCTGTGTCTATCTTTATTAGACATATTCATGTATTTAATATATTCATACAAGCCTTTGAACTCATGGCAACTTTAGCTTAAACTGCTGAGTTCAAGAATTGTAACTTGTGATTCTAATTACTATTTTCCCTCATTTTTGATTTTTTTGTGTTGTGTTGCTTTTTATCTCATTGCATAAAGTTCTCAAATGGTTAATGACAGCAGTACATTATTTTCCTTTCTGTGGCTAAATAATAGAAAATCAGAGACTTGATGTTAGCCAGGGTGTGCTGTGCTACTGTTGCAGGTAGACCCTGCAATGTCTTTCCATCAGTTTTAGAGTACTCATTTCCTCAGACACCTAATTTTTAAGTTTAAAATGTCCAAAGTCCTTAGACTTGGTGTGGTAGTGTGCGTCTTTAATCCCAGCATTTAAGAGGCAGAGGCAGGTGGATCTTTGAGTTCCAGGGATGCCAGGGCTAGCTAGAGAGACCATGACTCATAAAGCAGAACAAAACAAAACAAAAAATTCTGTTTTCCAACCTTCTGTAATATAAATATTACAAGATGATTACTGACAGTCATCATTGGGGGCAATATTTACCGTAAGCTTCTTCCTTCTATCCAACTGGACCTTCACTTTACAATTTTATTAATTTGACAACTCTGTCAATCATTTCCCTTTATGTATGGATTCCATGTATGAAGCCAACTTTGTTGTTGTTTAGGAAAAGCCATCTTGTTCTCCTTGCCACACACTACTCATGTGGACCAGCAAGGCATGGTTTGGAGATCAGCCTCCAATTTTCTGGTTCCTTTCTCAGGTTGTTAAGAGTAGAAAGGCATTCAATTTCTTATAACACATTTGAAGGTACTATAAATTCAAGCTCAAAATGAGTAGTCACTGGTATTCTCACATACCAAATATTAATAAGCATTATGAAGTACTCAAATTAGAAACACGAACCAGATAAAAGAAAAACAAAACAATCCAAAGATGCCGTTAACACCCTACCTGTGTTAAGGATCTAACGAATTCAGACAATTAAACAGGTAGATAATATCAGCATATATAAAAACTAGGAACTCAGCCATGCAATAAAATATGAAAAGCACAAGGATAGAGCTGAAAGTACCATAGTGAGTGGCAAACAGTAAAGGAAAGAACACTAGGAAGGGTCTGGAAGACGGAAGCCTCAGCAAACAGGAGGCTGCCAGAAGTTTGAGCATGAAGAAAGACGTCAAAACACTGAAGGCCTGAGGGGTGACTCACCAGGTGAAAGATATCAAAACACTGAAGGCCTGAGGGGTAACTCACCAGGTGAAAGATATCAAAACACTGAAGGCCTGAGGGGTGACTCACCAGGTGAAAGACATCAAAACACTGAAGGCCTGTGGGGTGACTCATCAAGTGAAAGCACCTGGAGCCCAGTCTAATGACACTCTAATGTCCATGGTACCACGGAACAACTGTTCTTGAATTCCCCTCTTGCTTAGGCACAGGACTGCATTTGGTCCCAAACATACAACACTGACTCAAGGAGAAAATTAAAAGAAAAGACAGACAGAAAAAAAAAAAAAAACAAAAACCAACCTGAAGAGAGTGTAAAGGATTATGGAACACTACACACAGAATAAAGAAAAGCAAGAAAACCAGAATGATGTCACATGTGTGTAATCTCAGTTCTTGAATGGTCTATGTGTTCAAGACCAGTTTTACCTGCATAGAGAGCTCATGGCTAGCCTGTGATATGTGACAATGTTCCTCATAAAAAAAACAAAAAAACAAAAATTAAAAGAGAAAAATAATTTTAAGAAATGAAGTCTTACATTATTTGAGATAAGTGATGGACACCAACTAAGACTTTTCCCAATCTCCAGTCTAGAGAACACTAAAGAGAGTCACAGAAGGCTAAGCAAGTGGTGGAAACAAGAATTCTGAAAGGAACAGGACAGTGGCTCCTCACCCAGAAGGCATTTCTTAAAGTCCTCACTAATAACTTAACAGACCGTAGCCGGGGAAGCTGAGGAATGATATTTCACACATGGTGGGTGGGAAAGAACAGGCATGTATTTATAAACAAAGCTTCCGAGCTGCTCCCTCACCATCTGCAGAGTGGAGAAGGCCACAGAACAACAGGACTGTCCCAGAGTCAGTGAAGAGACATCTATAAATGGGAAAAGGTTTTCTACCCAAACAGCAGAGGGAAACAGCAAAGAGAAGGACAGCAGATCCCTAAGTCACAGCAGAATGATGGCAGATGGCTAATTGAAAAAAACAGTCCTTTGTTTATCTTTTTTCTGCGCCTTCATTTTTTTAATTTTCATTATTTATTTATTTGAGACAAGATCTCACTATGTAGTTCTGGATGGGTATTCTGGAACTTGTTCTGTAGATGAGTCTGGCTTTAAACTCAGATCTGCCTGCCTCTGCCTCCCAAGCACTGGGATTAAAGGTGTATTGTAACATGAATTCTATTTTGGTTTCAGTAATAAAAACCTAGAGTCAGATATGAGTTAATGCTGAAAGATCAGAGAAGTGGAGCATCCAGCCACTAGCTCTTAAGCACCACTGAATCCTCAGACCAAAGGGGTGATTCTGTCCCTATGAATCCTCAGACTGCATCTCAGCTCCTGTCTTCTCCTGCCGCATATTATTCCTCTCTCTCACTCCTGTCCCTAGTGCTGAGATCAAAGGTGTGGGATCCCAAGTGCTAGGATCACCTGTATGTGGTTCTCTTTTAGACAAATTCAATCTCATGTAACCCAGTGTGACCATGACTCATAGAGATCTGTCTGTCTTTGCCTCTATCTCCCGTGTGCTGGGATTAAAAGTGTGTGCCACCACTGCCTGACCTCTATGGCTAACTAGTGGCTTAGCTCTGCACTCTGATCTTCAGGCAAGTTTCATTTGTTAAGATCACAAACAAAATATCACTAGTGTGTGCCGCCTGATCCAGTCATTTCTTAAGAAAATGAGACTGTTGAAAGCATCTCTGTAAGAGGTAATAGGCTCATCCTCCACTACTCTTTACCTATGAGATGGCCACCCGCCAGAGGTGAAGTTGTTTTCCTTCTTTTGAATGGAGGCTGGTCCTAGATGCAAGTCTAGATCAGCAGAATGAGCAGGCAGAAGTGATAAGAACTCTTGCATATCATGTGTGTCCCTCAGAGATATTCAGACATAGAAACCTAACAATCTTCAGTACCAAGAGCATGGGGAAGTCAAAGCTATATGTAAAGCAAGGGCTAAACTCCCAATTAACTTTTAGCTACTAATGATTTCATTTTTGGACACAGAATATTTATGGATTATAGAGAACACACCAGGAGTACGATAAAGGAACCAACCCACAAGTCTCCGGGCAGCTCGTGACTCCCACACATCTGACATGCAGCTATCATTAATTCTTGTTTTCACTTAACACATTTTGCAATACTATGACTCAGAGTGTATATTTAGAACACTGAAAATGGTATGGAAGACCATAGCTAATGCCTTTATTTGGAACACGGAATGGAATGCATATTTAGACAACATGCAAGTTTCTAAAGAAGTAACACATGCTTTATTATGTTCAATGTGCAAATGTAACAATAACTTTAAATATTCAGTACACTGTAACTCCTTGTTTCTAATGAAATACTAAGTGCAATCCATCCTGAAAACAGTTGGGGGTTCATACTCTCATCCAGCTAATTCAAAGAAGATAATAATTGCATGTATTCTGCCAGACAATGTTACACGTACCTTTACTTTTCAACTCAAAATATGTCACTGCATTTGAAAACAACTATGAATGGACTCAAGGACAGAAATATTTATAAACTCAAAAGAGAAAATGTTGAAATTCTGTGCCTCTCATTTTCATTCCTTGCATATATTTGGCTCCTATTCAAACCTGCATAAATAACTTCTGTACCTTCTCTTCATGGTCCCCAACATATGTCACACACATCACCAGAAAGTGAATGTCATCATCCTGCAAACTTTCCCTTTTCAGTTTTCCAAGCACGACACATCTAACACAACTGTTTCCAAAATGAGCAACTCCTCATAACTCTTTCCCTCATGCCATCATTTGTACAAACATTAGAGTACAAAGAGAAGGGCCTGTAAGGAAAAGGATGCTGACATAAATTCACAGACCTATGAACACCTGATCTTTGACAAAGAAGCTAACATTATACAATGAAAAAAAAAGAAAGTATCATCAACAAATGGTGCTGGCATAACAAGATGTCAAAATGTAGAAGAATGCAAATAGACCCATATCCATCCCCATGCAAAAACTCAAGTCTAAATGGATCAAAGACTTCAACATAAATCCAGCCACACTGAACCTCATAGAAGAAAAAGTGGGAAGTAGCTTTGAATGCATTGGCACAGGAGACCACTTCCTAAATATAACCCCAGCAGCACAGACAATGGGATCAACAACTCATAAATGGGACCTCTTGAAACTGAGAAGCTCTGTAAGGCAAAGGACACGATCCCAACACGATCAACAAGACAAAAGGGCAACCTACAGAATAGGAAAAATCTTCAACAACCCCACATCTGACTGCTGATCTCTGATATACAAAGAACTCAAGACACTAGATGTCAAAATATCAAATTCAAATTATCCAATTAAAAAATGAGGTATAGATCTAAACAGAATTCTCAACAAAGGACTCTCAAATGGCTGAAAGGCACTTAGGGAACTGCTCAGCATTCTTAGCCATCAGGGAAACGCAAATCAAAACAACTCTGAGATTTCATCTTACACCAGTCAGAATGGCTAAAATCTAAAACACCAATGACAGCTTATGCTGGAGAGGATGTAGAGTAATAGGAACACTCCTCCACTGCTGGGGGGAGTACAAACTTCTACAGCCACTTTGGAAATCAGGATGGCATTCTCTCAGAAAGTTGGGAATCAATCTACCTCAAGACCCAGCAATACTACTTTTGGGCATCTACCCAAGGGATGCAGACCTATACACAAGAACATTTGTTTAGCTATGTTCATAGCAGCATCAATTTTAATAGCCAGAACATGGAAACAATCTAGATGCCTCTCAGCCAAAGAATGGATGAAGAAAAGTGGCACATTTACACAATGGAGCACTACTCAGTTGTAAAAAAACAATGACATATTAAATTTTGCAGGCAAAAGGATGGAACTAGAAAAAAAAAAAACATCCTGAGTGAGGTAACCCAGATACAGAAAGACAAACACGGTGTGTACTTACTCATAGGTGGATATTAGACATAAAGCAAAGGATAATCAGCCTACAGTAAAGAACCCCAGAGAAGACAGGAAACAAGGAGAACTCATCAAGACAGACAGACACGGATTCCCAAGAAGGGACAGCAGACAAGACCTCCTTAGTAAATGGTCAGCATGTGGGAACAGGGAAGGGTGTAAGGAAGTGGGGATGGGAGAAGGGGAGTGAGAAGGAGAGCATAAGGGATGGGGAAGATCAAGTTGGGTGAAGGACAGAGAGGGAGAGCAAGGAAAGAGAAACCTTGAAAGAGGGAGCCACTATTAGCTTAGCAAGAAACCAGGCACTAAGGAGATTCCCAGGAATCCACAAGGATGACCCCAGCTAAGAATCTAAGCAATAGTGGAGAGGGACCTAAAATGCCCTTCTGTAACCAGATTGATGACTACCTTAATTTTCATCATAGAACATTCATCCAGTATCTGATGGAAGCAGATGCAGAGATCCACAGTTAAGCACTGGACTGGAGTCCAGTCATAGGGAGGGAGGAGCGATAATATGAGCAACGGGGTCAAGACCATGATGGGGATACCCACAGAAACAGCTGACCCAAGTGGGTTCGACAACTGGAGAACCAGCATAAGACTGAACTAGGCCCTCTGAATCTGGGTGACAGCTGTGTAGTTTGGGCAGTTTGGGCAGCCACTAGCAATGGAAACAGGATTATTATTTTATTATTTTGGTTTAGTATTTATCCCTAGCATGAGCTGGATTTTTAGAGCCCATTCCCTATGGAGAGCTATCTTCTCAGCCTAGATACAGGGGGAGGGCCTTGGTCCTGCCTCAAGTGATAGGACAGACTTTGTTGACTCCCCATGGGAGGCCTCACCCTCTCTGAGGAGTGGATGGAAGTTGGGGTGGGGAGAAAACAGAGGGAGGAGGAGGAGAGGGAACAGGAATTGGTAGGTAAAATATGGTCGTTCTTAAAATAAAAAGAAGAAAAGTTTAATAAAATGTTTTAAAAATACCTTGTTTCTTATTTATTTATTTGTTTATTTATTTATGGGCAGGGTTTCTCTGTGTAGTCCTGGCTGTCCTGGAACTTGCTCTGTAGACCAGGCTCGCCTCAAACTTAAGGATCCGCCTCCTCCTGCCTCCCAGAAGCTGGCTGGGATTAAAGGCTTGTGCCACCACTGCCTGGCTAAGACATGCTTCATCTGAGTAGATTTTAGTGCCATAAGCCAGTCTCTAGCACATAAACACTTGGTATTTTGAAGTGTGAGAAAATAGGAAGCAGCACAAAGGATAGGGTGTGGAGTCTACAGGACCCTGAGTGAACCACAATTCTTCAAACTCATCCTTCACTTTTTGACACAGT